GACTACCTCGCCTGGTATGCAGGAGGTTGTAGGTTCAATCCTGACCCTGACGATGCCTACTGCTGCTGAAGATTTGGAGTCTGCGTCTCTATCTCTCTCATCATCATCATCACGCTGGCTAGGAGATGTTGACTACCTCGCCTGGTACGCAGGAGGTCGTGAGTTCGATCCTGACCCTGACGATGTCTACTGCTGCTGTGTATTTGGAGTCTGCGTCTCTATCTCTCTCATCATCATCATCACGTTGGCTAGGAGATGTTGACTACCTCGCCTGATACGCAGGAGGTCGTGGGTTCGATCCTGACCCTGACGATGTCTACTACTGCTGTGTATTTGGAGTCTGCGTCTCTCGCTCTCATCATCATCATCATCACCACCACGGTAAATAGGAAATGTTGACTACCTCGCCTGGTGTACAGGAGGTCGTGGGTTCAATCCTGACCCTGACGATGTCTGCTGCTGTATATTTGGAGTCTGCGTCTCTCTCTCTCTTATCACGGTGGCTAGGAGATGTTGACTACCTCGCCAGGTGTACAGGAGAGCGTGGGTTCGATCCCGACCCCTGACGATGTCTACTGCTGATGTATATTTGGAGTCTGCGTCTCTCTCGCTCTCTCATCATCATCACGGTGGCTAGGAGATGTTAACTACCTCGCCTGGTTTGCAGGAGGTCGTGTGTTCGATCCTACGCCTGACGATGTCTACTGCTGCTGCTGTATATTTGGAGTCTGCGTCTCTCTCTCTCATCATCATCATCACGGTGCCCAAATGTTGACTACCTCGCCTGGTATGCAGGAGGTCGTGGGTTCGATCCTGACCCTGACGATGTCTACTGCTGCTGTGTATTTGGAGTCTGGGTCTCTCTCTCATTATCATCATCACGGTGCCCAAATGTTGACTACCTCGCCTGGTATGCAGGAGGTCGTGGGTTCGATCCTGACCCTGACGATGTCTAGTGCTGCTGTGTATTTGGAGTCTGGGTCTCTCTCTCATTATCATCATCACGGTGCCCAAATGTTAACTACCTCACCTGCAACACAAGAAGCAATCATCATCATCCTCATGCTGTGAAAAGCACAGCAAGACAAATTGAAAAAAAGTCTCGGACATTGTTATATATTTTTATTATTTTATTGTTTCCCTTCTACGTGGTGGTGACTTTACCGAAAGAGCCAAGAATATAATGAAAAATATTGTTTTATATTTTTATTATTTTATTGTTTCCCTTCTACGTGGTGGTGACTTTACCGAAAGAACCAATAATATAATAAAAAAATTGTTTTATATTTTTATTATTTTATTGTTTCAGTTCTACGTGGTGGTGACTTTACCGAAAGAACCAAGAATATGATTAAAAATATTGTTTTATATTTTTATTATTTTATTGTTTCCCTATCTACGTGGTGACTGTACCGAAAGAACCAAGAATATAATAAAAATATTGTTTATTATTTTTATTATTTTATTGTTTCCCTATCTACGTGGTGACTGTACCGAAAGAACCAAGAATATAATAAAAATATTGTTTTATATTTTTATTATTTTGTTGTTTCCCTTCTACGTGGTGGTGACTTTACCGAAAGAACCAAGAATATAAAAAAAATATTGTTTTATATTTTTATTATTTTATTGTTTCCCTTCTACGTGGTGGTGACTTTACCGAAAGAACCAAGAATATAAAAAAAATATTGTTTTATATTTTTATTATTTTATTGTTTCCCTTCTACGTAGTTGTGTTGTAGTTGTATTGTAGTTGTTGACTTTACCGGAAGAACCAAGACTGTGAATCCCTGCAGTCACGAAAGCTTTAAATCGACAATTTGCCAGGGTCTTCTTTGGTTCTTTCGGCAAAGTCACGTAGAATGAGAATAAAATAATAAATTGATAAAATAAAATAACACAATAATATTCTCACGACGTTTCGGCCACAACACAAGCGGCCTTCATCAGGTGAAGGGACGAGACTGTCTGGTAGGACAGCGCTGGAGTGAAAAAGCCACGTTCAGATCACGACCTTTAAGCTGTGTGAGAGGAAACAAAGCGCCTTGACAAAGGAATTAGCATATAATTTAGCATTTTAATGGCCGAGTGATTAGCTTGTGACTGGTCACAGAAATGGCTATGTTAAAAGTTAAAGCATACACATCCGCAGAGGCACCCCTTGACATTCATTCGTACCTGATGACGAATGCTTGTGTTGCAATCGAAACGCGGCATGCCATTATTTCATTATTTGTTTCCCCTACCTACGTGTTCGATTACTTTGGAATCTTTGACCCCTCCCTGTCCGGCCCGTACCACCAGTTCCGTAGGCCACGACCTTACCCCAGATGCACGCTCAAATGCCAGCTGGTCGCCAAGCATTGGTTCAGAGATTGTGAACGTCGAAATCAGTCATTCCCGATGAGCATCTGGGAAATTTCACCGGGCAAATTGCTCGAAGCGAAACTGGTCTATTTATTTTCTATAGTTATTTATAACTATTTTCTATCATAAGAAATAAATAAAAATATATAAACGATTTTTTTACACGCTTTCTATGAACTCTGTCTGTTGTTGTCGATGTTGCATCCTCAAATCGTGTGTTGTAGTTGTGTTGTAGTTGTATTGAGGTTGTGTTGTAGTTGTATTGTAGTTGTGTTGTAGTTGTATTGTAGTTGTGTTGCAGTTGTGTTGCAGTTGTGTTGTAGTTGTAGTGTAGTTGTGTTGCAGTTGTATTGTAGTTTTATTGTAGTTCTGTTGTAGTTGTATTGTAGTTCTGTTGTAGTTGTATTGTAGTTGTGTTGTAGTTATATTGTAGTTGTGTTGTAGTTGTGTTGTAGTTGTGTTGCAGTTGTGTTGTAGTTGTGTTGTAGTTGTATTGTAGTTGTGTTGTAGTTGTTTTGTAGTTGTATTGTAGTTGTAGTGTAGTTGTGTTGTAGTTGTGTTGTAGTTGTGTTGTAGTTGTGTTGTAGTTGTGTTGTAGTGGAGTTGTATTGTAGTTGTGTTGTAGTTGTGTTGTAGTTGTAGTGTAGTTGTGTTGTAGTTGTATTGTAGTTGTAGTGTAGTTATATTGTAGTTGTGTTGTAGTTGTGTAGGGGCAAGTGCTGTTAGCGAGCACCTATGAATGCCGGCACGGCACACGAGGGGGTGGGTGGCCAGCACCACGCCCGACCGCCTTTGTCTCCCTAGTGGCAATGTTTACACACCGCACCAGGTACTCAGTTGAGGCTGAGTCGACCTAGGGGAGGCCCGGGACCGGTTCAGATAATCGTCACTGGTGTTGGCCGTGAGCGGGAATCGAACTCAGGTCGCCAGGTTCATAGCGCTGCGTAGCGCTAACCGCTGCACCACCGCTCCTCAAACACTCACACAGACACCTCGTCACACACTCTCACATCTCATCACACACTCACGCACCTCGTCATACTCACCTCGTCACACGCTTCACACCTCCTTACACACCCACGCACCTCGTCACACGCTCACCTCGTTACACACCCACGCACCTCGTCACACACTCTGACACCTCGCCACACACTCTGACACCTCGTCACACACTCTGACACCTCGTCACACACTCTGACACCTCGTCACACACTCTCACACCTCGTCACACACTCTGACACCTCGTCACACACTCTCACACCTCGTCACACACTCTGACACCTCGTCACACACTCTCACACCTCGTCACACACTCTCACACCTCGTCACACACTCTCACACCTCGTCACACACTCTGACACCTCGTCACACACTCTCACACCTCGTCACACACTCTGACACCTCGTCACACACTCTCACACCTCGTCACACACTCTCACACCTCGTCACACACTCTCACACCTCGTCACACACTCTCACACCTCGTCACACACTCTCACACCTCGTCACACACTCTCACACCTCGTCACACACTCTCACACCTCGTCACACACTCTCACACCTCGTCACACACTCTCACACCTCGTCACACACTCTGACACCTCGTCACACACTCTCACACCTCGTCACACGCTTCACATACCACGCACCTCGTCACAGATGTCCGCATCTCTTTGCGCACGTGACCAGCCACCGCGTGTGCCTGACTTCGTCTAAAATGAAATCTGGGCACCTCTTTAATTAATTACGACAGTTGGGGGGGGATTAACAAAGACGCAAACGTCACGAACCACGTGACCCGCTCATCGATTTACCTCTTTATTCATCTTATATATATATTTTTAAACAAACGAACGAACACAAATAAAACGAAACTGATTATAAATTATAACGTAATCGTAGCAAAATGGCCGGTTCATTGGCGAAGATATGTTACAGCCGGCGGACACCCGACGGCATTGGCTTTGCCTTTTCTTTTTAAAAACGCTTCACGAGCACCGGTACTGGGAGAGAGAGGGAAAAACAAAAACACACAGCTCATTACAGATCCGCAGTTGTGCACAAATAATGCCATCGAGCTGCTGATTATGCTAGTTCGTCGCCGGTTAACTTACCAGAGCTGCCTCAGGCATTAAGACCAAACCCTATGAAGCACCAAGTGAGCCTTTAGTCTGCCTTGTACGGAATATTTAACGCCGCTTTTTTTTTGCGTCCAATGGATTTTCTGTTTTGCGCACAGTCCACACGTGGTCACTTTAAGATGTTTTTCTTGTTCGTGTTGTTGTTGTTTTGTTGTTGTTTTGTTGTTGTTGCGGTCGCACCCGATTCAAGAGCCGAATGGCTCACAGGGCTAGATGCCAAAATAAAGTGAAACTGAAACTTGGCAAAGAACCCTAGCAATCCCAAGTGTTCTTCATCGGACATTAACACAAGACGATAAGGAACTTCTAGACTTGAAGCTTTCGTGACTGCAAGGATCCACACTCTTTGGTTCTATTCGGTAAAGTCACCACGTAGGTAAAAAAATAAAACAACAAAAATCGCGACGTTTCGGCCACAACACAAGCGGCCTTCATCAGGTGAAGGGACCGGACTGTCCAGAGGACAGCGTTGTCTGGTCCCCTTCACCTGATGAAGGCCACTTGTGTTGTGGCCAAAACGTCGTGATTTTTGTTGTTTCATCTTTTACCCACGTGACTTTACCGAATAGAACCAAAGAGTACGATAAGGAACCCAAGGGAACCTTAGTCTGGCTCTACGAGTCACTAACACTGAATCCTAAGACATCTAACGCATAATTAGCCTGGCACTCTGATCTTCAGCCTTTAACACGAGACCACGATAAACCTTAGACAGCCTTAGTCTGGCTCTGTGAGTCTTGCTCACGAACGCTGAACCTTACAGCATCTAAAGTATCTTAGTCTGGCTCCACGAGCCTCAGGCTTTAACACGAGACCATAAGGAACCGTCAAGGGCCTTAGTCCGGTCTCCGTGAGTCTTGCTCACGGGACCCTGAACCCTACGAAATCTAAAGTCTCCTTAGTCAGGCTCCACGAGCCTCGGGCTTTAAGATAAAACCATAAAAACCCTTAGAGAGCCTTAGTCTGGCATCCGTGAGTCTTGCTCACGGGACCCTGAACCCTACGAAATCTAAAGTCTCCTTAGTCAGGCTCCACGAGCCTCGGGCTTTAAGATACAACCATAAAAAAACCCTTAGAGAGCCTTAGTCTGGCATCCATTGAGTCTTGCTCACGGGAGCCTGAACCCTACGAAATCTAAAGTCTCCTTAGTCTGGCTCCACGAGCCTCGGCCTTCAACACTGAACGCTCAAACGGAGTCCTGAGAAACCCTGCCCCGAGGCAGCGCGCCTCTCACGTGCACTCGCCAGGGGGGTGAGGAGCCACCACAGGGGTGCCCCAGCTGAAACGGGCCGTGAATTGAGCGATGCCACGCGACCGCCGGGGAAGGGTGGCAGCGGCCGCCCGCAGATTGGGCCTGGTGCATCGTGGCCGGCCAGAGGACGGGCCGTGAGCGCACGCTGATGTCCGCGGGGCGGGCGGGCGTCGGTGAGAGGGTGGCGATCAGCGACGCCGGCACGAGGGTCGTCAATTTGCCCGAGGCTTCGCCGGAAGCGGGAGGGCGGTCGCTTTCTTTGGGTTGCTCGCGATGGGGTCGACGGGACGGCGGCTCCATCGTGTCGCGAGCTTGCCGCCGTGACGTCGGTTGGCGGAGGGTGGCCATCGCCGCGGTGATCCCGTGGCCCCAGGCCCGGCGCGTCTGCTCCCCCTTCCAGGCCAGCCCCGGCCTTGCGCGGTGTCCGTGCGCTGGGACGGTCGGCTAGGCCCCGTGGCCCGGGAGGGGTGGGGGGGGGCGGGTCCGGGAATGCCGCGGGGGCCCTCGCGCGCGCAGTTGCGTGGGGGGGGGGCTGCGCTGATACCACGGCAAGGCCCCCCGGCGACGGGGTCGTCCTTCCAGTTGCTAGTGTCGCCGTCGGCTTCTGCCTGAGAGAACGGGGAAGAGACGAGGGTCAGCGCCCCCACGGCGCAGGCAAAAGCCTTGGCTACGGTGAGGCCCTGCCTAGAAGGCCCGAGGACTCATACACACCTGCTATCTCTCTCTCTCTAAGCCAGCTGAAGCTTCCCGTAACACCGCGTCACTTCTGTGTATGACCATCCCCACTGTGAATCCCTTCGCTCTAATCTATAGACCTCCGAGTCTCTAAACCTGCTGAAGCCCCCGCCCCCATACACCGCGTGACTTCGGTGAGGCCACCGCCACTCTGAATTCCGACCCTCTCTCCATCACTCCCTGTGAAACCAGGCGACGCTCCTCTGTGGAGCTAACTTCTCCACACTCTACATTTTGATTTAAAGCTTTCGTGCCTGCAGGGATTCATATTCTTGTGTCTTTCGGTAAAGTCGCCACCACGTAGAAGGGAAACAATAAAATAATAAAATATATGTAAAACAATAAAATTCTCACGACGTTTCGACTGCAACACAAGCAATCATCATCAGGTGTGAAAACCACAGCAAGAACATTTGAAAAAAGTGGCCACAAATTTGAGTGAGTGTGTTTAGGACTGTGACTCATGCAGCTGCAATGGCTGCTTTGGGTACGCGGTCCAGACATCCCCAGAGACCCTGGCTGAAAGAGGTGTTTAGGATGGTTGAGAAAAAGCGATAGGCCCACTGTCATCGGCTACAGAATCCCACGCCAGAGAATGAGGAGGCTTACCGCAGCCTTCGCTCGGAGGTTCGGAGAGCCGTGAGGCGCTGCAAAGATGGGTGGTGGTCGCGGGTTGCTGAGGAGATGGAGTCTGCCTCAGTGGCCCGCGATCACAAATCTCTATTTAACTCCATCAAAAAGGTAACCTGCAGCGCCACACCTATTACCATCATTAGGGGAAAAAACGGTGATCCAATCTTCGACCCCCAGGAACAGGTTTGCAGATTTGCTGAGCATTTCTTTGAGGTCCTGGGGGAGGGAAAATCCCTCAGCCAGGAAAACATCGTGGCACAAGGTTGAGGATGACCCTTCTGAGGCTGCAGTGCCTCAAATATTGGAAGAAGTCACCCCCTGTGAGTGGCTGGCTGAGGTGCCATCTGTTGAGGAAGTACTGAAGGCAATCCGGAGTCTGAGACCAGGAAAGGCAGCGGGCAGAGATGATCTCCCAAGCGAAATGCTGAGGGAGGGTGGCGTTTGTGCACAGACTGCCCTATATGACATCATAACAACAGTCTGGACCACTGGACGGGTTCCGCAGGATTGGAAGGATGCCCTGGTGGTCCCGCTCTTTAAGAAGGGGGACCGCACAGACTTTAACAACTGCAGGGGCATCTCAGTCCTCAGTGTGCCGGGAAAGGTCCTGGCAAGGATTATTCAACATCGCCTTGCCAGGCACGCTGAGGAGAGGCTTGCAGAGCACCAATGCGGTTTCAGGAAAGGGCGGTCCTGCACAGATGCCATATTTTCTGTCCGTCTGCTACAGCAGAGGTGTAGGGAATTCCAGCAAGACCTACATCTCTGTTTTATTGACCTGATCAAGGCCTATGATACCATCAGTATGCCTGGGCTCTGGGTTGTTCTTCGTGCTTTTGGAGTCCCTGACCCTCTGCTCACGATCATTAAGGACCTTCATGATGGTGAGCGGGCCCGGGTAAAACTACGTGGCCGGGAGCCAGAGCCATTCCCTGTACACCTTGGGGTGCGACAGGGATGTCCTCTGGTTCCCACATTATTTAACATCTATTTTGACCACGTAGTTCGTGAAGCCTTCAATAGCTGTACCGAGGGAATCTCCATATGGTACAGATATAATGGGAGGCTGATCGATGCCCGGGTGCGGTCAAGGGATGGCTCCCTATTGCTCAACCACGTTATGTATGCCGATGATTTGGTAATAGCTGCTCATTCAGAGGAGGAGTTGGAGACGCTGCTGCTGAGACTAGAGCGTGCCACTAAGAGATTGGGCCTCACCATTAGCCCCACCAAAACTAAGCACCTGCCTGGGTATTTTGTACCATCGGACACTCCACCCCCACAACTCCCAATCGGTGATGGGGCAGTTGTGGAGAGAGTGGAGAGTTTCCAATACCTGGGCAGTGTGCTTATGACTGGCTCCAGTTTGGCAGCAGAGGTCTCACTCCGAATCAGTCGAGCGGCAATATCTGTTCATCGGCTGCGTAACGCTGTGTGGAAGCTACCTGGTCTGTCGCTCCGCACTAAGCTTCAGGTCTTCTCGGCCACGGTCATTCCCTCCCTTCTCTACGCTTGCGAAACGTGGACCCCCCTAATGGAACATCTTCGCCGGTTAGAAACATTTAGGCTTGCCTGCCTACGATTCATCCTGGGTTTAACCAGACTGGATTGTGTGAGGAGCTCACAAATCTTTGAAAGATCTGGGCAAGGTCTCATCGATGAGCTCCTCCGGCGGGCAAGGCTGCGATGGCTGGGTCATGTAGCCCGCATGCCCAGCCACCGCATGCCGAAACAGCTTTTGTTCGGCCGGATTGAGGGGGCTAAGCGGGCGCGGCACGGGCTAGTGAAGAGATGGAGTCATGTGGTACAGGAGGACGTGGAGCTGAGTGGACTTGCTGATGACTGGTACCAGCGGTGTCAAAATCGGCCTCTGTGGAGGAGGCTCGTGAAGGACGCAACTGGGCAGCTGGAGGTAGTCGCCCTCCAACAACAACAGAGGGCGGAGGAGCGACGCTCACAACAACGAGCGGAGCGCTGGGTGGCTAAAGCACAGCAGGTTAGCACAGTAGGTGGCACAGGTGGTGCATCAGACAGCCATCTCAGTTATCTTAGTCAGTCGACCCGTGGCACTTGGGTCTGCCCCCTAACCTCCTGCCAGCGGGTGTTCGACACTTCACGTGGCCTCAAGGTGCACATGGCCTGGCACAAGCGTTGTGGTGACGTCACCGCCACTTAGTGTGTATGTGTATGTATGTGAGTGTGTATGTGTATGTATGTGAGTGTTTATGTATGTGAGTGTGAATGTATGTGATGGTGAGTGAGAGTGTGTATGTATGTGAGGGTGAGTGTGTATGTGAGTGCTAGTGAGTGTTGCTGTGTATGTGGGAGTGAGTGACTGTGAGTGTGTATGCATGTGAGAGTGAGTGTGTGAGAGTGAGTGCGTGTGCGTGTGTATGTATGTGAAAGTGACTGTGAATGTATGTATGTGAGTGTGTATGTGAGAGTGAGTGAGTGTGTGAGTGCTTGCGTGTGAGTGTGTATGTGTATGTAAGAGTGAGTGAGTGAATGTATGTGAGAGTGAATGTAAGTGAGTGTATGAATGAGTGGGTGAGCAGGTGAGTGAGTGAGTCAGCAGGTGAGTGAGTGTGTGAGCAGGTGAGTGAGTGTGTGAGCAGGTGAGTGAGTATGTGAGCAGGTGAGTGAGTGTGTGAGCAGGTGAGTGTGAGCAGGTGTGTTAGTGTGTCAGCAGGTGAGTGAGTGTGTGAGCAGGTGAGTGAGTGTGTGAGCAGGTGAGTGTGAGCAGGTGAGTGAGTGTGTGAGCAGGTGAGTGAGTGTGTGAGCAGGTGAGTGAGTGTGTGAGCAGGTGAGTGAGTGTGTGAGCAGGTGAGTGTGAACAGGTGAGTGAGTGTGTGAGCAGGTGAGTGAGTGTGTGAGCAGGTGAGTGAGTGTGTGAGCAGGTGAGTGTGAGCAGGTGAGTGAGTGTGTGAGCAGGTGTGTTAGTGTGTCAGCAGGTGAGTGACTGTGTGAGCAGGTGAGTGTGTGAGCAGGTGAGTGAGTGAGTGAGTCAGCAGGTGAGTGAGTGTGTGAGCAGGTGAGTGAATGTGTGAACAGGTGTGTTAGTTTGTGAGCAGGTGAGTGAGTGTGTGAGCAGGTGAGTGAGTGTGTGAGCAGGTGAGTGAGTGTGTGAGTGAGCGAGTGTGTGAGCAGGTGATTGAGTGTGTCAAGGAGCGAGTGAGTGAGTGAGTGATCAAGTTACCCGGGAAGCACAAGTTGTTCTTGCAGCGGCCACCATAGCTTGGGGGGCACTGGGAGCAGGGCCGACCTCGGCGGTAGGGAACTTGGCCCATCCAGTTCCCCCTGCAAGCACACAGGGCCCTGTAGGTCAGTGCAGGGCTCTATGAGAGTGTGGGGCCCTATGGGTGTGTGTAGGGTCTATGAGAGTGTTGACCTTATGGGTGTGTATAGGGTCTATGAGAGTGTTAGCCCTATAGGTGTGTGTAGGGTCTATGAGAGTGTGGGACCCTATGGGTGTGTGTAGGGTCTATGAGAGTGTGGGACCCTATGGATGTGTGTAGGGTCTATGAGAGTGTGGGACCCTATGGGTGTGTGTAGGGCTCTATGAGAGTGTGGGACCCTATGGGTGTGTGTAGGGTCTATGAGAGTGTTGACCCTATGGGTGTGTGTAGGGTCTACGATTGTGTGGGCCCCTATAGGTGTGTGTAGGGTCTATGAGAGTATGGACCCTATGGGTGTGTGTATGGGTCTATGAGAGTGTGGGACTATATAGGTGTGTGTAGGGTCTATGGGAGTGTTGACCCTATGGGTGTGTGTATGGGTCTATGAGAGTGTGGGACCATATAGGTGTGTGTAGGGTCTATGGGAGTGTTGACCCTATGGGTGTGTGTATGGGTCTATGAGAGTGTGGGACCATATAGGTGTGTGTAGGGTCTATGAGAGTATGGACCCTATGGGTGTGTGTATGGGTCTATGGGAGTGTGGGACCATATAGGTGTGTGTAGGGTCTATGGGAGTGTTGACCCTATGGGTGTGTGTATGGGTCTATGAGAGTGTGGGACCATATAGGTGTGTGTAGGGTCTATGAGAGTGTGGGACCCTATGGGTGTGTGTAGGGTCTATGAGAGTGTGGGACCCTATGGGTGTGTGTAGGGTCTATGAGAGTGTGGGACCCTATGGATGTGTGTAGGGTCTATGAGAGTGTGGGACCCTATGGGTGTGTGTAGGGCTCTATGAGAGTGTGGGACCCTATGGGTGTGTGTAGGGTCTATGAGAGTGTGGACCCTATGGGTGTGTGTAGGGTCTACGATTGTGTGGGCCCCTATAGGTGTGTGTAGGGTCTATGAGAGTATGGACCCTATGGGTGTGTGTATGGGTCTATGAGAGTGTGGGACTATATAGGTGTGTGTAGGGTCTATGGGAGTGTTGACCCTATGGGTGTGTGTATGGGTCTATGAGAGTGTGGGACCATATAGGTGTGTGTAGGGTCTATGGGAGTGTTGACCCTATGGGTGTGTGTATGGGTCTATGAGAGTGTGGGACCATATAGGTGTGTGTAGGGTCTATGAGAGTATGGACCCTATGGGTGTGTGTATGGGTCTATGGGAGTGTGGGACCATATAGGTGTGTGTAGGGTCTATGGGAGTGTTGACCCTATGGGTGTGTGTATGGGTCTATGAGAGTGTGGGACCATATAGGTGTGTGTAGGGTCTATGAGAGTGTGGGACCCTATGGGTGTGTGTAGGGTCTATGAGAGTGTGGGACCCTATGGGTGTGTGTAGGGTCTATGAGAGTGTGGGACTCTATGGGGTGTGTATGGGTCTATGAGAGTGTGGGACCCTATGGGTGTGTGTAGGGGTCTATGAGAGTGTTAGCCCTATGGGTGTGTGTAGGGTCTATGAGAGTGTTAGCCCTATGGGTGTGTGTAGGGTCTATGAGAGTGTGGACCCTATAAGTGTGTGTAGGGCTCTATGAGAGTGTGGGACCCTATGGGTGTGTGCAGGGCTCTATGAGAGTTTGGGGCCCTATGGGTGCGTGTAGGACTCACCACTTCTCTATGAAGGTTAAATAACCTCTCTAAAACATTAACCCTTCGCAACGAACATCAATAACACGTCTCTGTGAACATCATTAACACGTCTCGGCACGGTGAGCCTCACTTGGGCGAGTAGTTGCACACGAGGTACAGCGCCTTCTCCCACATGTTGCCCCAAACATTCATGTTGTAGCAGAACTGCACCGCACAGCCAATGCGGTTCGTGGTCGCCCACACCAGCTGAACGATTCGGAGGGGGGGAGAGATAGTTTCATAGTTAGTTAGTTTCATAGTTTTCATTTATGTTGGTATGGCCCTGTGTGAGCCATACGGCTCTTGAATCGGGTGCAGCCGCAACAAACGAAAAAGGACGTGAACAAGAAAAACATCTTAAAGTGACTTTGTGTGACCGTGCAAACGGAAAATACAGGAAAATAAACATCAAAATATTCCTGAAATAGCGCCGTATACACCAACGCTGTGTGCAAAAATCCCAGTGGGATGCAAGTCAACTAACCACAACAACCACAAGACAACTAAGATTAAGGCCATCAGTCCAACTCCGTACTACAATAAACATTAACACGGCCAAAACAACAAAAAAACGTTTTCGAAATCACCAAAATAAAAGCCATGAATGCATGAGATGGGGTGGGAGGGGGGTGGAGTAGGTAGGTAGGGGGGAAGGTATGGGGGGCGACACGGGAGTTCAGAGGTCACACACGGTGTCACCGCACAGGTCACGAATGAGGTCACCAAAGAGGTCGCTCGCGGGGTGTGGCGGGGGGGGGGGGGAGGAGGGGTCAGAGGTCACGCATGGGGTCCTCGAATGTTGTCCGATTGGCGCGGTCGGTTACCCGCGGTGCTGCGAAAGAGGCTCAGCGTACAAACGTGAATCGTCATCATTGCTGTTATCGCTTAAAGGGGCAAGCGAGTGGACGGTTCCTGGTGCCACCTTTCAGTGGGCACGCCCGTGTTGACGTGACGCTACGTCACGGCGGACGGCTTCACGGTCTCCGACCGGGAGCGGTCCGGGCAAGAACGTCGCGAATTCGGGACCGTCCCCCGAGGTCTGGACGAATCCGACGAGCTGCGAGGCTCCGCCTCGTACTCCCCGCCCACACAGACCTTGACGCGGGGTTCCCGAACCAGCCGGTGGCCGAGCACGGCGGCCTTTAGGGGTGCCGTACCCTGGCCCCAGGCGTTTGGGGCGTCACCTTGTCGCCGCTGTGCGTAGGGACGCCCCCCCCCAAACCCCCCCCAAACCCCCTCCCGCCCCCCCCCCCCACCCAGTGACGTCAGCTCCCCGCCGTTGCCTTCGTACGACCGCTCCGCCAACAGCCGCCGCCACCGCGAGGATGAGCGGAGTTCGTGCGACCGGAGGTTCGCGGTCTCCTCGGCGAGAATCGTCACCGAAGGTGTCCTGGATGTCCCGTTGCAGGACGCATTCCATCCGAACGTCGTTCACAGGTGTCACTTTCATCCGTCACGCCAAGCTAACCCACTCCACGCGGCCGCCTCGGCAGCCATTTTCTCTCGTCGCAATGCCACCAGGTGCCCACTGGATGGGGCACCACAGGGGACGGGCGATTTGGTCAACGCTTGGCAAGGGTTGGGGGGGGGGGAGTAGTGTGGACCGTACCACTACGTGTGGAGGGGGGAGGGTGGAGGTGAGGGTGGGCAGTGTTGGACCGTACCACTACGTGTGGGGAGGGTGGGGTTGAGAGTGGGCATTGTTGGACTGTACCACTACGTGTGGGGAGGGTGGGGTTGAGAGTGGGCAGTGCTGGACTGTACCACTACGTGTGGGGGGGGGGGGAGGGTGGAGGTGAGGATGGGCAGTGCTGGACCGTACCACTACGTGTGGGGAGGGTGGGGTTGAGAGTGGGCATTGTTGGACTGTACTACTACGTGTGGGGGGAGGGTAGAGGTGAGAGTGGACAGTGCTGGACCATACCACTACGTCTGGGGGGGGAGGGTGGAGGTGAGGGTGGGCAGTGCTGGACTGTACCATTACGTGTGGGGGGGGGGGAGGTTGGAGGGGACAGTCAGCAGTGCTGGACCGTACCACTCGGAGCGTGGCAACAGGGGGGAGGTTGTAAGAGCTGGCGGTGGTACCTGTACCTGCGTGTAGTGCGTGCACACGGGCCCCGTGCAGTGCAAGGGGCAGGACGGATCGCAGTCCCCCGAGCCGGGGTACGAGTACCAGGCCACCTCGTCGTACCAGCTCTGCACGTGGTACGTCAGCGGGCGGGGCCTGAACAGCAGCAGCAGCAGCAACAACGTCACAATCAACTTCGCCATCGTCGTCATCATCGCCGTCATCAATATCATCATATCCGACGAAAACATCGAGGTCGCCCCATCGGTGCCGTCGCTTGTTTTCGCGCAAACAAATGACCCTGATTGCCTATCTTGTCGAAGGACGCAAAGCTAAGCTGGGCATTGAGCCTGGATTTGTATGTACGTGTGTATAGTTGAACTTCTTCCACAGCGTATGTAGCCAACCGTGCCAATAGGAGGTGCGGGGGAAGGACAACCAAACTATGGGTCTTCTTGTTAGTTTATGGGTCTCTATGTGAGTCTATGGGTCTCTGCGTGAGTCTATGGGACCCTGTGTGAGTCTATGGGTCTCTGCGTGAGTCTATGGGTCTCTGCGTGAGTCTATGGGTCTCTGCGTGAGTCTATGGGTCTCTGTGTGAGTCTATGGGTCTCTGCGTGAGTCTATGGGTCTCTGTGTGAGTCTATGGGTCTCTGCGTGAGTCTGTGGGTCTCTGTGTCAGTCTATGGGTCTCTGTGTGAGTCTATGGGTCTCTGTGTGAGTCTATGGGTCTCTGTGTAAGTCATTGGGTCTGTGTGAGTTTATGGGTCTCTGTGTGAGTCTATCTAAGTATGTATGTCTATTGTACATCTTTCACATCTTTCGCATCTGGTACAGATACAATGGGGGAGGGGGGGGGGGGGCTGGTAAGATGCCTAGGTGTGGTCAAGGGATGGCTCCCTATTGGAATTGTAGACTGACGCACCTGGAGCGTACCGCTTACTATGAGCCCCACCAAAAAAAAAAAAATACCTGTTAGGGTAATCTGCGGCATTGGACACTCACTTCCCCTCGACTCCCATAATCTGTTTAAATATATCATATTTTCATCAGCTGCTAAACATTCTGTGGAAGCTACCTGTCGCTCCACACGAAGCTCCGGGTTTTCTCGGCCGCGGTCATGCCCCTCCCTTTATTTATGCGTGTGAAACGTGAACCCTGAATCCCCTTCTGGAGGGAACATCTGCTCCGGTTTCAAACGTTCAGGCTCGCCTGTCTACGATCCATCCTGGGTTCACCAAGGGTGGATTGTGCGAGGAGCTCACGGATCCTCGCACAGATCTGGACACAGTCCCCATCACCCGCGAGCTCCACAGGCAAGCGAGGAGGCTGCATTGGCTGGGTCACGTAGCCCCCCCGCATGCCCAGCCAGCTTCTATTTGGCCGGGCAGAGAGGGCTTAACGGGCCCGGCATGGGCTGGAGAGGAGATGGAGCTGATGCAGTACGGGAGTGGACTTGCCCGATGACCCGCTACCAGCAGTGCGCGCTTGCGAGTCCTCCCGGCGTGTCTCACCTGCCCCAGTAGACGCCCAGGTTCTGTCCGATGTAGTCCATGAGGCGGCTAGGGCCGTGCTCCCAGACGCACTTACCGGCCCAATCGGCAGCCATCTTGGCCAATCCCTCATCCCACACCTAACCCCACGGGGACAGACGCACACACACACAGAGCGAGAAAGAGATTGAAGCTCGGATTTCAATCACAGCAATTGTAAAGACTAACCTGTGCCTGGGCCTACACTTCCCATGTATGCCCAGCGGACCCTGGACTCTGCAGCATTTTCCCTCGCCTTGTGCGTGGTGCGCCGAGATCCCTGGTTGAAATGCACCTCGTGAATGTAAATGATAATAGTGATTATGAGATATCTATTTACGTAGACTTGTTTCACTTTGTAATTATAATTCAATCGTGTAATGCGCACTCCATCCTAGGATCCCCAAATGCGCCAATGCACGAGGATCGGGACACAATAACAGAACCACGGGGGCCGAGAGACCGAACGGGAGAGCGAAGGCTTAGTTCTAAAAAAAACATGGGGTTTTTAGACCTCCTTTGCCAGTACCAAAATATAATAATAGGGTTTTTCCTCTTTTTTCTGGCAACAAAACTGAAATCTTCTTACAAGGATTCATGGTCGAGTACCAATTGGGTCGAGGCTCAAAAAGAAAGCCGTCCCTTGGTGTGGACCAATCAGTTTTAAGGACAATGTAAATATTATCATTGTATGTTTTTTGTTTGCATTTTGACTGCAGGTATTGTGGTTAATGCAGTAACATGAATCCTCGTAAAAAGGTTTCAGTTTTGTTGCCAGAAAAAAAGGGGAAAAACCCCTATTATTATATGGGGTTTTCAAAGTAGACTTGAATCTATCAACCGACTCCGGTCATGTCACTGTGGTTCTCTGTGGCGAGTGACGATGCCTTTTAAAAACAACGGCGCTACTGCCGCTACCGTGACCGTCACCGCCGCCGCTACCGTCGCTACTGCTACCGCCACTACCACTGCTACTGCTACCGCCGCTACCTCCACTACCGCCGCTACCTCCACTACCGTCGCTACCGTCACTACCGCCGTTACCGTTACTGCCGCTACCACCACTACTAAGCTTCTCTAAATAAAATTAACGCCGATAACGGCTCGTGCGTTCCGAGATTCGGCGGTGAGCATGACACCACCACCACCACCACCACACCCTGCGACTTGCAGATGTCTCGGAATGGGAAAAAGGGTTTAGATGTTCGAACACCAAACACCTTCGTCACAGGGCATCATCAAAAAGAATAATAATTCAAACGTGTGATGCGGCACTCCATCTTCGGATCCCCAATGCACAATGCGCGGAAAGCAGGAAAGTAAAAACAGAACCAGCGGGGCAATGGGCAAAAACTAAAGAGGCCGCATCAAAGACATGGGGTTGTCAAAGCTGACTTTAAAAATACATCTACCGACTCCAATCGCCTGATTTCAAGTGGCAGGGCATTCCATGGTCACCAAACGAGCTCAGCCTATAGACCGGGGAGCGCTGAGCAGTTAGAGATCAGGAGACATACCTGATAAAACCCATACGGTTTACCTTAGGGCCCAAATGTGCCTATGGCCCAAATGTGTCTAGCGCCCGGGGCCCATGAACCACCCAGTGGCAGGAAATTTCGTCCCAGGGTGCAGCACCAGCGTAGCTGTAATACTGCCTTGGGTGGCAGACGAGGTGCCAGGATACGAAATGTGAGCAGGGCAGTGGCGTTGGGGGAACGTGAGGCGGGGGGGGTGCCACGGCTGTGCCAGTGCAACGCGGCAAGAGTCTGAGCGGCCGTGATTCGATCAAACGCGGACTGACATGAAAGCGCCGCGTAGCCAATCAAAGAAAGGGAGATGTGGAGGGCGTGTCACTTGCACATGACGTGACCAGCTCGATCCAGGAAAGGGTCAACTGCATTGCTTACATGTTCTTCTTGATTCTGCTCATTGATTTGCCCGCGGAATTTGAATTTTCTTTTTTAAGGGTTTAAGTTGAAATAAAAGCGGGCACTCGCACGCAGCTGTGATTAAATCGGAGACTGTAAAAAAAAATACTTTTTTAAAGCCGTGAACACACTCTATTTGACAAATCGAAACAACATAGCAGTCTCACCCAGCGCTAGAACAGACTGACAGTAAAGATCTCGTGAAAAAAAACAACTCACTTTAGCTCCGCTAGCCTCGGGTTTTACATTGAAATTGAAGCGAACGTTCTCAAGAAGGCGGCCCCAGGTTGACAGTGCAGATTCGGAGTTTTGTGGGGGCAAATTCGTAGTCTTGGGGGGGGGGGGGTTAGAATCGGTGTTTCCTGATCGCAATTAGCAATCAGTAACACCCACCCAAGGCACGCCCCTCCTTACGTCATAACACCATATATATGTCCGCTTTTATCGCAGTACACCGGGCGCGCCGTTACAGTAAAGATTGACGATGCAATGTCTCGCTTTCCTTCGTACGGAGTTTGAAAAGCCACCGGACTGAGCGCTACTGCCATGCGGCGAGATGGCATTCGCAAGGGGTCTGTTGATCCATCGCATTGGGAGTCACGTGCTGTGCAGCGTCCGTGCATCCTGCGTGATGGACATTTTGTCCTCCTTCCCCCGCACCTCTGATTAGCGTGGTTGGCTACGTAAGGTGCGAAAGAAATTCAATGTACGTGCACATGTACTGGTAGACTCGCACAGAGACCCGTAGACTCACACATAGACCCGTAGACTTACGCAGAGACCCATAGACTCACACAGAGACCCGTAGACTCACACAAAGGCCCATAGACTCACACAGAGATCCATACACTCACACAGAGACCCATAGACTCAAACGGAGACCCATAGACTCAAACAGAGACCCATACACTCGACGACTTACGCAGATATCCGTAGACTCACACATAGAACTGTAGACTTAAGCAGAGACCCGTAGACTCACACAGAGACCCGTAGACTCACACAAAGGCCCATAGACTCACACAGAGATCCATACACTCACACAGAGACCCATAGACTTAAACGGAGACCCATAGACTCAAACAGAGACCCATACACTCACACAGAGATCCATAGACTCACACAAAGACACACAGACTCAAACAGAGACCCATACACTTACACAAAGATCCATACACTCACACAGAGACACAGACTCAAACAGAGACCCAAACACTCATACAGAGATCCATACACTCACACAGAGACAGACAGACTCAAACAGAGACTCAAACACTCATACAGAGATCCATATACTTACAGAGTCTGAGTAATTATTAAATCGGGTTCCCAAATCGAATGAGTCGATAATCTCAGCCCAGTCACCAATGACTTACACGGAGACTCGTAGACTCACACAGAGACCCATAGACTCACACGGAGACCCATAGACTCACACGGAGACTAGTAGATTTACACAGAGACCCATAGACTTACACAGAGACACATAGACTCACACGGAGACCCATAGACTCACACGGAGACTAGTAGATTTACACAGAGACCCATAGACTTACACAGAGACACATAGACTCACACGGAGACTCGTAGACTCACACGGAGACCCATAGACTCACACGGAGGCCCATAGACTCACACGGAGACCCATAGACTCACACGGAGACTCGTAGACTCACGCAGAGACCCATAGACTCACACGGAAACCCATAGACTCACACGGAGACTCGTAGATTTACACATAGACCCATCGACTCACGCAGACTGAGCTGCGATTTAAACCGGGTGCTCAAGTTGCAGCGAGAGTTGAGACTCACACGAATGGCCACCAATGAATGCACGATAACACCCAGGTCTCGGGCAATGGCCATCAGAGCACGATGGACATCAATGGACGTGCAACATCAAAGACATTCAGGTGGCGCTGGCTCAACGTCTCTTTACACGGCCATTACGAACCTCCTGAGAGAGACAAAGACAAGGATCCCCCGCATAGCCTCAACAGACTGTTGGGGCAAGTGGTCTTGGCGAGCACCAATGAAGGCCGGCGAACACCACGCACGGCCGCCTTTGTCTCCCCTAGTGGCGATGTTTACGCGCCGCACCAGGCACTCATTTGACGCTGAGTCGACCTAAGGGAGGCCCATGACCGGTTCAGATAATCGTCAGCGGTGTTGCCGTGAGCGGGAATCGAACTCGCGTTCGGAGTGTAGCGCACTACCCGCTACACTACCATGAACACACAGACCCATGGGGAAAACCCAGCAAGTGAGAAACATTGGCCGTAGTGTTTCTGACACGTCCATTATGAACCTCCTGACACAGAGAGACACAGACACAGAGACCCATGGGGTACACCCAGCAAGTGAGAAACACTGATTTTAGTGTCTCTGACACGACCATTATGAACCTCCTGACACAGAGAGACACACAGAGACCCATGGGACACACCCAGCAAGTGAGAATCACTGATTTTAGTGTCTCTGACACGGTCATTATGAACCTCGTGACACAGAGAAACACACACACAGACCCATAGACAACTCCCAGCAAGTGAGAATCACTGGTTTTAGTGTCTCTGACACGGCCATTATGAACCTCCTGACACAGAGAGACACACAGACACATAGACAACTCCCAGCAAGTGAGAAACACTGATTTTAGTGTCTCTGACACGGACACTATGAACCTCCTGACAAAGAGAGTGACACACACAGACCCATAGACAACTCCCAGCAAGTGAGAATCACTGATTTTAGTGTCTCTGACACGGCCACTATGAACCTCCTGACACAGAGAGACACACAGAGACCCATGGGACACACCCACCAAGTGAGAATCACTGATTTTAGTGTCTCTGACACGGTCATTATGAACCTCCTGACACAGAGAGACACACAGAGACCCATGGGACACACCCAGCAAGTGAAAATCACTGATTTTAGTGTCTCTGACACGGCCATTGCGAACCTCCTGACACAGAGAGACACACACAGACCCATGGGACACACCCAGCAAGTGAGAATCACTGATTTTAGTGTCTCTGACACGCCCACTATGAACCTCCTGACACAGAGAGACACACAGAGACCCATAGACAACTCCCAGCAAGTGAGAAACACTGATTTTAGTGTCTCTGACACGGTCATTATGAACCTCCTGACACAGAGAGACAC